ACATGGGTTTGTGACTTTCCACGTGAAGCGAGATCCACTCCACACCTCGGACATAGTTTGGGTAGGGTTATATTTTAACGAGGTGGAGCCCCCCCGTAGGGGGGGGCGGAACATACTGTCTCCATGCATGTACTTCCATGACGTATGACAGATGGAGATGGGAGGAGAGTTATAAGATTTAGAGTCCATCATTTTTTTCGAAAACTATTACTCGCACAGTAAAAATGAATAGAACATAAAATGTATATTTCAAAGAGATCTACAACGTTTGTTTAAAACATTTGTCATGAGTGCGATATACCGCACATCAGACGACGACTTCGCACGCGGCAAGGTATCAGATAATACCTGCCGTATGCGACGTAAACGAGTATCCGGAGCAAAGTACGAATCCATCGAAGCCGCGCATACAGTTGCTAACGGAACAACTGCTTACTAAACAATAAGTGGCCTGACAACAGGGCCAAGCGCGATTGATATAAAAAGGAATGGAAAGGAAGGAAGGCGGGTCAATCTTAAGTGAACTATACGAGTGTATGTATCTATGTAGATTTTAATAAAAATGGTTTTGATTAATATATTGGCATATGGCCTTTCGACACCGCGCATTTGTGCTCCTGGCAACGATCCCGACTACCCATGTCCTGGCCTAGTCAGCGGCATAACACATTTTCAAAATTTTTAATATTTGTGTCTGAAAATTACATATAATTGGTCGGCATTGTTTTTTTAATAACATTTTAACACACAACGTCCGCAGGCTAAAATCTTTTGCAGGTCACTCAGGTGGGTGACCTCTGTAATATATGTCAAGTCCAAGGTTATTGGAGATGGGTGTCCTAATCTAAATAATTACCATAATTAGTATTAATACTGAGACTAATATCAAATAAAGAAGTTTACTACGTGTACAAATACAATAATTAAAATAATAAGTACAGGAAAAAATATATTTATTGGTTGTACTTATCTACAACTTATTGTTAGACTTATAATGACTTTATATTTTTATAAATACTAAAAAATTCACAATAAATATTTGCCTATATTGTGAATTCAATAAATTTGTATACTAAAAATGGTATTCATGAAGAAGTATTCAGAATAAAAGAGTTGTAGAAAAAAGAGTTGTAGAAAGTAGATAGTAAGCCATAAAATACAGATTTACATGTTTATCACACTGGTTTAAGAGAAATTCTGAAGAAATCTTAATTGTATCTCATGATTACTGTTTCAAATATAGTAATACTCGTATAGTGATTCATGATGGATACAGTCTGAAATCATGCAATACATATTTATTTGCGGTTCTTTATTAATTGATTTCCCACTAATTATTGTGAAAATCGCAACGTAATATAAGATTTTTTATTTAGTTTAACCCATTTTACCTATCCATGAACATCAAACCTACTATCAAATATCCTGTATAATAAGGTGTGATTAATTGTGTATTTGTACAAACCTTCGATGTCACTAAATAGTATCTTCGATATCCTTGCGATGCTGACTTTTTTATCCCCCTTGTCATTTGTACACTCCCTCTCGGCGTTATTATTTGTACGGAATATCGACTCAAGGACCTGTCGCGAAAGTAACGGTGATGTTGGATGTTTTTTTGTATGCTCATTATTTACGTTGGCTGAAGCATCACATGAGCTTGTTTCGTTATCACATATGCTTGCTGTGGACATGCTGTCCGTAATCAATTTCTCAGTATCCGAGTCACCAGCATTACTGTAGTAATTATTACCGCTATCGGACTTCTTTAGAATCGACTTTGATACCCGGTGATGGTCTGTGAACGGTATTCCGTCGCAGTCTATTGAATCTGCTGATAGCGAAAATTTATTCTCGACACTCGTTTCTGAAACAAATTTTATTATATTTTATTACATTACTTTGCAACATATACATATAATAACAATCGATGAATAATCATGGATATTTAATCAAGAAATCGTATCATACGACCACGATTTCGACTGGTCGAAACAAAAAATCTTACATAACGAACGCATCAGGAGAAAAAGAGAAATAGCGGAAATGTTTTTCATCAAAAAGACCAATGACACACTTAATTTACAAACAGACACCGAAAACTTAAACGTAATATATGACCATGTAATCAAAACTGTATAGGTCGTATCACTTTGTTTCGCTCTAAAGACAATGCCTACAAATCAGTTCGCGCTCAACAACCACAGTGCGCACATGTACACAATTTTTATAACTCGACTCTGTCCTATGTGACGACGATGACACACTTAGCACTACTTGAAAAGGACCCGAAATATAGGGTCGAAACGTTGAACTAATAAAGAAAATTTGCCAGTCAGGTTGACTATAAGTTTCCTGTTCTATTAATCAAGAAACACGATAATGTCTTCCCTTATGAAAAAAATTAGAAATTTGCACATAGCTTCCTCATAGAGGAAGGTTTAGGAGC